TGTTGTTTATTTAAAAAATCTCAGAGTGGTTAAGTGTTTACTTTATACATACAACTGTTTGTGTAATGATTACAAGTAGTCAGTAATCTTAACAAGATTAACAGTAGACACTTAGCAAAGAAAGATCAGGAAGAAATGTTTGAGGCATGGCAAATGTATAAGGATGGGGAACTGGGCCCTTCTGCGCTCTTGAACATGGGCTCACGAATCTATGGCCCTACCACGTAGTGGAATGATTGCAGGGGAACGTGTATGATGATGTGTCTAGTGATGATGTTTGAGGTGAACTCTAAAGATGAGTGAATTGTGAACATTTGAACCACTTGAACCACCATTTGAACATTTGAACCACTCACACTAAAAATAATTACTTTTGTTACTATTTACATATTGATACAAATTCAAATGATCGCACTAAATATTATTACTTTTGTTACTATTTACATATTTAAAAATTAACACAAATACAAACACAAATATAAATAATAATAATAAATATTAATATAATAAAACATAAAATATATATTAGTTTGTATGTTCTTTTTTAACCTATGGCCCTTTTGACCTAAGTCTATGGCCCTTTTGACTTTCTGTTGGCCCTTTTGACTTTCCTTTGGCCCTTTTGACTTTTTCAATTTTGGCCCTTTTGTCCTTTGTCGCTTTTGACTACAACCCTCTTGAAACTTGATGAAACAATTTTGGCACATGAGTGCATATTGATTGGCCAGGTCATCATGGTCATTTTTCAGAAAGGTTTTATGATTCACTATCATTGTTTTCGATAATATAATCAATTTATCAACTTTGTATTGGAATAGTTTGGTTCACCGTGAACAAAACATAAGGGAAATATAGCGTCCATATCTACAACAAATTATCTCCTAGTGGTTTGAGTTGCATTGACCTAGTGTTAAGCATAGTGGAGTTATGACCCCTTCTCTTTATACATGTATGACCTCTCTCTCGTCGATTGACGTCAGAGAAGAAAATCCATTTTTGACATTTATTGAAAGTTATTTTCAATGTTGAGTGTATAACGTAATGCATTAGCACATAAACCCATTTCATAAACACTTATGTCGTTCAGATATCAGGCTGTAATTTCTTCGCTCACACTTTCCTTAAAAATGGCAAATCAGTAAAATCAGAGCACAGTGCTTTTACCGATGCCCGATAAAAAGCGGAGAAATTTACTGTTTTCTAACGCATAACAAAATTTTGGACAACATTTAGCAGTGTCTATTTCTCAAATCGCTGAGGTAGTCACACTTATATTAATACAAATAAAGTTGATATAATTGTTCTTTTGGAGAAACGAAACCTTTTGCCAATGCGACCTAAAACCTCAACAAAATGAATCAGGCTAGCTATTCTCGAAACGTTCGTAGCCCTACGAACTTCTTAAACCCATTCTTAACACATTGGCTACGACCAAAGTTAAGAATTCTTAGAGCTACGTACTGCAGCTGCAACCGATTCGCGAGAATCCACTCGAAGCGGCGCTGAACAAGCCACAGCACTAGAGAGGACACTTACCCTACCCAAATGGGTCCTCTGGCCAGTTCCCTAATTGTATTGTCATCTCAAACTTGGGGAGACCGGGTCAATTGTAACACTTTTTATTTAACTTGGTGTAATACCAGTCGACCTATCACAAAGTTCATTGGTACTATCTAGTACATTGGAATCGTGGCTTTAAAAACCTCAGTGTCATTGTAGGTTCACTATCATGTCATTAAAAAGTTATTGCGTATCAAATGCAATGACTGCAAGTGTTACAATTGACCCCTAGCACAGGGCAATTGTAACACGTGGATGGGGCAGTTGTAACAAAGAAGGTCAATACACAGCTTCGATCACTGACCACATGCAATTTGAACTTAACACCAATCAGGCTATACACCATAAACAAAATGCATTGATTTATGGCCCGAGTTCGGTCTCTGTCACATTATGTAATTACACAGACAGGCAGGTGTGATACTTGAACACATGACATGTTATGATGTCTGTTGATTGTAAAATGTTATACACAAAAAATGAGCATGTATTTACAAAACCCAACATCTCTATATATACACACACAATGAGCCGTGCGGGCATCTGCTAATGAACCAGCCGTTACACTTGAGTGCACACCCACCCGCTCTGACTGGGTTCGGTATCCCGGCTGCTTCGTTTCTTGGGAAGTGAACCCAAGTACACAATATTGCACTTTTGATTTGCGATTGTACGCTTATAATTTTGTTTAAATGTTTTTTCATAACCAGTAATGTATATTATATGTCATGAATAAGTGATAATTGTGTTTTAATTATGTTTGATTTTTTGGTTGCATGTGACCTTTAAGTAGTTTTACAAATATATTTTCCCACTCTAATTCACTGAAGACACATTCCTCACACTTGTGTTTAAATTTGGTATCCCATGCATTCAAGATAACATAATAACACTTTGCACCCTTCTTAAGTGAAAGGGGTAATGTGCACTGGAAAGGGATCACAAGTTGGGCCAAGTATTAAAAATGTTGTGGTTCCGATTACAGCTCTCTAATATTTAGGGTAGGTCGGTAGGAATATTTTTTTTACTTTTTTTACATATGTTTTAGAAGTAAATTTAAAGTACAAACTAATAACACATTTATGAATGTGTAATTGTATATTTAAACAAGCTTGCCGCCATTATGTTGACTTTCCCTATCAGAATGGCCGATGTCCGTCGGTGCCGGGGGAAAAGCAATGGTATCTGAATGGTTATTTTATTCACAACGCTTAAAAAAATAGGGTCGGCACCAGAATTCAAGGGTCGGTCTGGTAATCGGAAGCACAACATTTTATGTTTTTTAGGCCTTGTACCTCGTACTTCATCTCTCCCCAACACTGAGACACAGGTTTTTTTGTAACACATAGTGTCACCCCAGGCAACTGACCAGGGCCTAAATTTTCGAAGCTCCCTTAAGGCTAAGATCGTCGTAAGTGCCATACATTAACATTAACTTACGACTACCTTAGCTCTAAGTGAGATTCAAAATCTAGGCCAAGGTCTATAATATACCTCTGTTCACCAAGCAGTATATGGGTACCTGGTAGGAGATGAGCTACAATGAATATTCAGTGCACATTGACTTGGTCTATAAGGTACATCTATTCACCAACTATCATGGTCAGGTGGTCAGGCTCGCTGACTTGGTTGACACATGTCATTGTATCCCAATTGCGTAGATCTATGCTCATGCTGTTGATCACTGGATTGTTTGGTTTAGACTATTATTTACAAACAGCTGCCATATAGCTGGAATATTACTGAATGCCACATCAAAATAAAGTCACTCACTCACTGTTCACCAAGCAGTATATGGGTACCTGGTAGGACAAGCTGCAATGAATATCCAATGCACACTCATCCACCAACTAGCTCTATGGTATGCCTCTGTTCATCAGGCAGTGTGGGTACCTGGTAGGAGATTAACTACAATGAATGTCCAGTGCACATTGACGGCCTATAATATTCCTCTGTTCACCAAGTAATCTGATAGGGTGGTTACGCTCTCTCACATGTCATTGTATCCCAATGCGTAGATCTATGCTCATGTTGATCACTGGACTGTTTAGTTTAGACTTAATTATTTACAAACTGCCGCCATATAGCTGGAATATTGCTGAATACCAAATCTCACCCACCCACCCGGTGGTCAGGCTCGCTGACTTGGTTGGCAGATCTATGTCATCGTATCCAAAATTGCGTAGATTGATGCTCATGCTGTTGATCACTGGATTGTTTGGTTTAGACTTGATTATATACAAACCAACGCCATATAGCTGGAATATTTGCTGAATGCCACAAAATTTAAGTCACTCACTCACTCACCTCACTGTTCACCAAGCAGTATATGGGTACCTAGTAGGACAAGCTACAATGAAAATCCAGTGCATGCTGATCCACGGACATGGTCTATAATACACCTCTGTTCACCAGGCAGTGTATGGGTACCTTTGTAGGAGATGCGCTATAATGAATGTCCAGTGCACATTTACTAGTTCTATAACATATCACTGTTCACCAAGCAAGGTGATGTGGTGGTCAGGCTCCACTCACTTGGTCCAGACTCGATTATTTACAAACTGGCACCATATGTCTGGATTATTGCTGACTGATGCATAAAACTAAACTGACTCGCTCACTCATCAGGGTCACTGTTCACAGTTCATGGGTAGGGTAGATTTATCCCTGGTCCCTGGTAGGATAAGCTGCAGTCAATATCCAGTGCACACTGATCTACTTTGGTCTTACTTGTTGACCAAGCAGTGTATGGGTACACAGGTAGGAAATAAGCTACAATGAATCGAATGTCCAGTGTACATTGACTTGGTCTATAATAAACATCTAGTCACCAAGTAACGTGATGTGGTGGTCAGGCTCACACTCACTTGCTCCACACTCGATTATTTACAAACTGCCACCATATAGCTGGAATATTGCTGAATGACACATAACACCAAACTAACTCACTGTTCACCAAGCAGTTTATGGGTACCTGGTAGGACATTAGCTACATTGAATATCCAGTGCACACTGATCCACTGACTTGGCCAATAATATGCCTCTGTTCACCAAGAAGTGTGTGGGTACCTGGTAGGGCATTAGCTACAAGAATATCCAGTGCACATTGACTTGGTCTGTAATATGCTTCTGTTCACCAAGCAGTATGTGGGTACCTGGTAGGGCAGTAGCTACAAGAATATCCAGTGCACATTGACTTGGTCTGTAATATGCTTCTGTTCACCAAGCAGTATGTGGGTACCTGGTAGGGCAGTAGCTACAAGAATATCCAGTGCACATTGACTTGGTCTGTAATATACATCTGTTCTCACTCACATCTGTTGGAGCCCTGGTAGCTGATCAGCATCATGGCTGAAATACTGCTGTCTGTGGTGTGAATGTGTATTGAACTGCAACAATGACTGCCAAGTTGGACGAAACACAAATAACAAATCCACAAGTAATATTTCAGGAATTCACCTTTATTCAATGTATAGAACGATAACTTCAGGATAAAAATAGTCCACCAAACTAGCTATTCTTAAAAACCAAAATCTACAGCAATCATGTGACTGTGTCATCCCATTTCTGCGAACTATATACATCACAGGTTGTAGCTGTCGGCCCCATCTCCAATGTTCATCAGACTAGGAAAGTCATCAACCACGACTGGTCAGCTCTCACCACAAACATCCCAGAAATCAAAATCATAAAATCGGGATATTGCCTCGAATAACACTGAAATTGTTAAATGTTTACTAAATGATTCATCAAGGAAAACCAACAAAGGATTGGATACATATATTTGTAAACAATCCTTTGTGTCCTTTGGAGATGCTGGTTAGAGAGCAGACAAATGTCTGATGAACTTAAGAGAAGACACCTTTCGATGGTCGGTTTCCCCCAAATATTAACTTGTGCTGTCTATGTACATTGTGAGAGAAAGATGAAAAAGCAGTGATTGCATCCCCACTGCAGTGTTCAAATTAACAAATTGCAAAAAAATGGAAACAAAAGATAAATAATCATAAATGTATCGAACTAAACTGTCATGAACTAGCATGAACTAAAGAATGAAAACTAACAGCAAGAAACTAAATACTGGCTTTCAGGTGGGAACTATACCGAACTATTTACACAGTGGAACTCAAGTAATGTAGTAATATTATGCAAAGTATCTCCATGGCGACACAGTCACATGATCCCTAATGAACTCTGAGGTTTGAGCAAAAACATGTCCATTGCACAACAAAATAGTTGGTTTGGGAGCGACAGTCATGTACAGAATTGCCCCTACCAGTAATGTAACAGAAACAGGTCTACCAAAGGTCAAATCGGATTGGAATTTTTGGACAAAAATTAATTTGCATTTGAGTTTAGCTTTGAAATCAGGCGTTCATACAAGCAGAGGAAATTGGGTTATTTCCATTTAAAATCAAATTTGACAGGTAATTGAAACTCAAATGGGTACGCATGCACTTGCAGGTTTCTAACCTGGAGGTAAATGAGTATTTAAATGTCACAACCGTTTGTTGATTTCGTTATGAAATGCATTGGAGTTCTCAACCAAGATTCTTTACATGGAAAAATACAATTTATTTCAATAAATGACAAAATTTGTATCTCTCATCCGGATCATACATTTAACATGGACATAGAACAATTTCATATTTTGAAAAACATGGAGAATTTGTCAAATCAAGGGGAACAACTCATGCACTTTTATGCTTGATACCAATAAACAAAACTTGACACAATTTACACAAATCTCCCCCAAAAACACTGTTCATGAAAAATGTCTAATCACACTGACAACACCTTTCGTAATAAATTCAACCTCTACAGCTGATCCTGGTCAAAGGTGAACACTAATAATTTCAAATACATTTTATGTTTTTTATCTACTTTAACTCATTTGAAATTAATTTTGAACAATTCCGTCCATCTTTGAATGCGGAACTTTGAGATCAATTTTAGTTTGATTTCAAGATAATTTTGATGGTCAGCTCTAAAAGTCAGATTGTATGCTGATACGGGGAGAACACATCTACCTTTGATCACAAGGAGAATGAAAAACAGAGAAAGGACATGATGTTCAGGTAAAGGGTTAAGCATATATGACATGGGAGAATGAAGGCAAAAGTTTTGATGGTAATTAAACATATCTATCTACACAAAGTCAACTAGGATCCCTGTCTAAGTTGTACATGTAAACCGTATTTTGATTATTATTGAAGTCATTGTCATGCAAACAGTTGATTAAACATGAATTACTCGAAGACCATACAGTCCCACATCTAAAGCACACAGCCTTGGCGAGGAGGACCTGGTAAGTGGTGAACAAGCAATGATTGGACTGGTGGTCTTCGGGTACCCAAATAACGGAATCTGTCCACGTGTTGGGAACTTGGGGGGAAATGTCACAGCAAGGTCTGTATCACAATACACAAGTCATGATACGATTAATATCGCGATACTCATACTTATGTCAAATTGATACGCATATTTACATCAAATTGATACGCATATTTACGTCAAATTGATACGCATATCTACGTCAAATTGATACGCATATTTACGTCAAATCGATACGCATATTTACGTCAAATCGATACTCATATTTACGTCAAATTGAAATGGAAACTTTTGACCATCAATATTTCAGAGCTGGTTCAAAGTGAAAAGTAATCTGTAGAACATGTTTGTAATGGCTATTTTCAGTAATAAAACTTAGAAAAACCCATTATAAAATATTTGAATGATAACATCATGGGAGGGCATTGAAAGAGGAGCAAATAAATACTTCAAGCAGTTTTTCGACTCACATCGATACAGAATACATTCACGCTAATCTTGATGTATCATGACACCCCAAGTTGCAACCACCAAGTTTGGTCAGGCACATCGCCATTTTACTTTCAGAACAAAATTATTGTACTATATAATGTTGTAATTCCAACACTGTATGAAACATCACAAGCTGGGATACAGTTGTAGTTACATCATTGCATGTTCCCCACAGGTATGATTATCTATGTTGTGTGCCAACAATGTAGCTCCTCAATATAAGACAGCTACATTCGTGTAGCTCCTCAATATAAGGCAGCTACATACATGTAGCTCCTCAATATAAGACAGCTACATTTGTGTAGCTCCTCAGTATAAGACAGCTGCATTCGTGTAGCTCTTCAACATAAGGCAGCTGCATTCATGTAGCTCCTCAGTATAAGGCAACCACACTCATGAAGGCCTCTGTAAAAGGCAGATACACGTGTGCAAGTCATAAAATACAGGTATGCTATGTAGCCCTCCATGTATTGCAGCTACACACATGTATCTCCTCACAAAAGATAGCTACACTATATAGCTCTTGGATATAAGGCAGCTACACCATGTAACTCCTCAATATAAGGCAGATACACCATGTAACCCCTCAATATAAGGCAGCTACACCATCTAACCCCTCAATATAAGGCAGCTACACCATGTAACCCCTCAATATAAGGCAGCTACACCATATAACCCCTCAATATAAGGCAGCTACACCATATAACCCCTCAATATAAGGCAGCTACACCATATAACCCCTCAATATAAGGCAGCTACACCATGTAACCCCTCAATATAAGGCAGCTACACCATGTAACCCCTCAATATAAGGCAGCTACACCATGTAACCCCTCAATATAAGGCAGCTACACCATGTAACCCCTCAATATAAGGCAGCTACACCATGTAACCCCTCAATATAAGGCAGCTACACCATGTAACCCCTCAATATAAGGGAGCTACATTGGGGCACATCACTACAACTTGATCGAGCATGTAGATGGGCAAGATGACCCCTACGCCCTGACCTACAAAATGCCGTTCTCTGATTGGCTGGAATGTTACGTACTGTACACTCGTTGGTAAGTGAAACCCTCACAAAGATTTTCTTTAACATTCACATGCAAATATACAAATCATTGTTTACAGAACATGACAGATAAACAAACAATGACCTTTACACATTAACTATCTGCAAGATCATTGAGGCTTTCCGTTGATAGGCTTATCACACAATGTCAAACAAGGAATAGAATTTCATAGGCTCATAATAACTCCTTTTAAAGGCTTAATAGAAACAATATCATACTGCAAGCGACGTCCATATCTTGTTCGTTCCATATAATTAACCCTTTGTATCACATCTCCGTGGAAACGCAACAGAAGGGGTTAACAAAGATTACAAAAGTCTACTTTCTACATGAGCACAGATGGTCTATTTATATACCCCTAGATATAAATAGATAAATAATCAAACATGATAAATACACTGTACGAGAAAAATCAACAATATATAAATGAACCGCGGAATTCATCACATACTACCAACAAAGCACACTATCGCAAAATGTAGAAATGATGAGTTAGTTTTTTTCTGAGTGAGGATAATTTACTGGTATGATGACTTTAAGTCCAATTTACAATGAAATACATGTGAAGGACTGAATGAGGACTATTTTCCCATTCCACTGCCCGCATACCCTGGATTCCCTGGCAGTATAGAGAGACTACATGTAGGACAACTAGTGTTAGTAAAACACTGAGACAGTCTCCAGCATGAAAACATGGCCACCTTGTTTCTAAATCTCACAGCTGAAACCATTAGTTGTGAAGAAAATAGCATTTGTGCTTTGTTTTGTTTTATTGTTTCCATGGGAACTGACATAACCAACATTTATCAAACTTTTCAGATTCAGAACAATATTTCAATAAAGTTTATGACTTTGTGCTACATATCTTTCATCTTGTTTTACATAAGAGATGTTTTTCAATTATTTCACTGAAATGAAGCTGAATGTTGGTTATTCACAAACCCAAATCTTACATAATTCCCTCACAATACGAAAATATCAGTTTTCAGGACAGTATGTTCATTTTCTACCACCATGTCCTCATGGTTGGCAACTCCACACTAAACCACCATTATCAACAACTAAAGCATGACCAGTTTCTCTACCCACAGTTAATCTCGGCAGCTATAGCATCACGTTCACTACATAACAGTAAGGCGGACCAGCTGCTACAGCCACATCAACAACAAACCAGCTCAAACTAACAATAAGTTAGGGGTATTAAATATCGATAAATACATAGTTTGTATATTTGATGGATTTTCTGCATTCAGAAACACAGTATTGCAATAAATAGACCAACACAGTTTGTAAAGGCTGTTGAGTATCAACGAAATGTTTCTCGTCAAAGACATGACACTTTAGGAAAAAATCAATAAATCAAATGTCACCTTCGGAAAGAAACTTGAAATCAGAAAAGTTTTATGCCCATTACCCAAGTAACCCATCTTTTGACTTCTTTGTGTTTTAGAGAGTGAAAAGTGTGAAAATTAACCAGTGTACAAATGTACAATAAATAAAAACAATGAACTTTGTGGAGTATGATTCTGTAGTCGAGAAGAAGAAAATGTTTCCTCCACTCAAATACCCAACCCAGTGTGGCATATTTGATAGGAACACATGTATGAGAAACATTGGATTAATATTCTCACGGCCTTGAACACATCCCTGCAACACAGGTCATATTTGATATGGATTTGTCATAAATACATTCTGGATTTCTGTTATGACTATTTCACGATACAACGATACTTGGGATGCAAAACAGGTATCATGGTTGCAATATACAATGTATCGTGATACAAAGGCACGGTTCCTTTAGATTTCACTCAAGTTGTCAATTTCCAACAAACATAATGCCATATTTGAATGAATATCAACTGTTCGATGCATATGTATCACAACACCTTTGTATCAGCGAGTAAACGTTGTATCATTAGGTCCTTATTTGGTAATATTTTGATTTGTAAACAGGATTTCTCGACACCACATGTAACACCATGATACAGAGACATGGAATGACGACAATTTATCGGCCAACTATTGGCCTGCTAGGTAACAAATTCGATCATTTAGAATGGGAATTGCAATGTAAGATCACTCAAGGACATAGAAAAAGGACCAATCGTTGTTAGAGAAAAACAATACTGAAATCAACATAACTAGACCCTGGGACAATACCTACCATTGCCGTGACTACTGTACGAGTTCCGTCATCTCTTGTGATATTCCTCCTGGTTAACCAGAACTTTGACCCTAATGTATTTCCATATTATTTCATGAACATAGGAGTCGCTGCCGACTGCTGAACTTTATCTGATGTGGGTTAGATACCTGTGTAGATCATAGAGGTCGATAATCAGTAACTAAATAGAGATGAATTATCAGTAAACATCTGACAAGTAACTCTGAGCAGAAATGAAAATATACATCCGAAGACACATTCATGCATTCATAGCTAACAATTACAAATTGTATCTAGTCTGTAAAATATGATTGACAGATAGCATTCCGTCTTCTGTTTCGGTTTTCATCACAATAATTTGTGTAGGATATTACCAATGTCACAATTTTGATATCCATAATTTATTCTTCTTCCCATCAACATCATTTCAGATTATGAAACGTTTCAGCCAGTCCTGTCCGAGATACTGATTACTTTCGGTTAAGGTAAAGCCCTGAACAGTTACCATAGGAGCCACAACATGCCAATCTGAACTCTACGGTTCTTTGATGGGGAAAAAACACCCTCATCCCTGACGGCAGCTAGGACCTTCGTCTTCTGACTGTTCAATGCCCCCGGGCACTAATTAGGTTGACTCGGTAGCCAGAATTACAAACATGTCAAATTTGTCTCTAACCTCTACGGACTAATTTACTTAATTTCTTCACATGCATAAATGGCAACAGTATAAAAACGTCTATATGATCTGTTTTGTGGAAAATGTTATCGGGGAACCACAGGAAAGGATGTCTCCCACATTGGTCCTTTATCTACACAATATATATATATATATATATATATCATTCACATTTATGCATCAAAAGTCGGAACAAGCACACAGAATTGTCTGCCCTGAGTATGCGCACCATAAAAGGTCAAAGGTCAAAGGGCAGTTGAACTCTCAGTCGTCCAATATACATTACCCATAATGCAAAGTCGATGACAAATTCACCTCCGGCATTTAATGCTCGCGCCGCGCGTATTCACCACACCTAAACAATAGGCACGTCGACAAAACAAGGACAAGGGACATCGAGTGTTTTTTTTCGGCAGCATTCATGCACAGATGACAATACCACACTTTAAGGTCGGGAAAGATGGTCGTGAAAATCGCGTTTCCATCCTGCTGAAGTCGCTGTCGGTATCGAGGGAAAGACAGGGCCGGCGCGTGGAGAAAGAGTGGCCATTAGTTTATTTTTCTCGATGTTGGCATAATGATAACATCCAAGTAGATATGTACAAGGGAATTTGGACGGAGACTTAGTCGAGTTGAACGATCCTAAACCCAGCCGACAATGCACATGCACATATATTGGACACTTGTCTGGCGCCATTCCCTGCTGGATTACTGGAAATATCGTTAATGGTTTCATGACCAATCAAAACAATCATCTTGACTATTTTACTCAGATCAACCATATTTCACATTTATCTGCGATTCTTCAGCTGCATTAGGAAATTATTGGACCAGATCATCAAATGTTTCAAAATATATTTATCTATCTGTATTTTTCAGATAGTTTACACAAATAAATAACACACAGCTGAATGGGTCGAGAAATTCTACTGTTCCAAACTTGTGTCCAAGAATACTGTTTACCAAGACATTACCAGCAGGGTAAAATGGTAACAATGGCGCCAGTGCTATTTGCCTATGAAACAATCTACTATCTAGCATCAACAAACATGGACAACACACACGGAAACAGGAAACAATGAGGAAACATCCATCGTTTCATTTTAACTTTACAAAAAAGAAACAAAACAGTAACTGGATTTCAAAAAACACATTGGTCAGATTATACAAATCAGAAATACAACTTCCTACACTATACTGTCACTCATTTGCATCAGAGCTCACAAAACACAATCATCTGCAGAAATTTTGTTGCCTAGGATACCATGATTAAAAAGTTATGATTGGTTGATATCACAAAACACAGTCGACTCCAGTAACCATGGTAACTATAGTGCTTCAAAATGCTGTCGCCATGGAAACTGGGGACTGTAGAATGTTGAAGTCATCCTTTTTACCCTGAAAAAGAAGGAAACATTTAATTAAATACAAGATCATAATTTCTATTCACATATGAACTGTTTTACTAATTTTAGTACACTACTGTTTAAAATGAATTTTGATGAACAGTATAGGTGTAAAATATTCAGAATATATAACCTATTTTTATTTTATTTTTCAAATTGAAATACTAGTAAATCTTTCTTTAAAGTTGTACAGATTAACACCAAATTTGGCAGCCTTGAAAATATTACATATGTAATCAAATAAATCAAGCCTAAAAACTTATGGAAAGTTCTTCTGCCTAATCTGTAATCAAGCTCCGTCATATTTCACCACGTGTACGAACTAACTAGAAGCGTTGGTTAGAACCTTCAGTATTCCTGCCCATTAACAGTTAATTCAAACACTATTTCCAATCAAACTATATGCTAGGACCATTAAAACTATACCATGACTGATGCAACTATAAGCTTATTAAACTTTATCATGACAAGCGTCGGTCAGGCTGGACACCTTCAGCAATTTTAAGCAATATTGTGGCAGAGAACCGAGGAATGTTCTCGCCATATTGACCAGTGTGGGAACTGAACTCAGTACACACTTCCACCGACATCCCTCGTCCCATGAAAGAGAATGTGGTCACTTAATGTAATATTTCTAGCACTAATTTGGCTTTGAAGCAGTCAAATAATAAACCGTTTCCACAAAAAAAAGGGGTATGACAATAAACATCAAAGGTGCTGTGGTACCAGAAAATGTATGAACAGAAATTTGAGAAAAGCATATTCACAAACATGTCTTCTGTGTGATACGTGTCACAGCCAATCACCCCTTGCTGATTCAGTACAAGCTCCCCTTGCATTAAAGCAACCCCTTTTGTTCAAACAAACCCCCTCCCTTGCTTCAACAGAAACACCCAAACCCCCACCCCCATCTCAACACAACCCTCTCATCGCAATACAGAACTCGTTGCCTGAACACAACTTTTTCTTTCTTAAACACAAGCCCCTTGCCACAGGTCACAACCCCCACGTGCCCCAACACATCTTCAAAGAAGCTGGTGAAAATATTTTCTTATTGTCCTAAAGGCCAGGTAAACTAACACCACAAATCTAATGCTCTAGGGTAAAATCTAAAATAGTGTAAAAGATATGATAAAAATGACACTAAATGGAGAAATGAAGCACTAACAAAAAACTCCCATTACTTGCCCTTCGAGAATGAGAATCCTGATGTCTAATGACATAATGTAATGATGAACAGGAGGATGAACTACGAGGAGTGAGTTAGTTTAGTTTTACGCTGCTGTTAGCAATATCAGGCCAGGGGACACCAGAAATGGAATCATACATTGTACCCCTGTGGGGAATTGAACCCGGGTGTTTGGTGTGACAAGCAGATGCTTTAACCACTAGGCTACCCCACCACCCCTGAGCTGCGTGGTTGTCAACATTGTTTGTGAATACACTTCAAGAGCAACACACTGAGGAACTGTTTTATCGTGGATCTTGGGGTTAGTGAATGTCGGGGATGATGTAGTCCATTATCTTGAAATCAACAACACAGGTTAATATACACCATTCCAGCACACTTGAGCTTTAAAAGGGTAGGAAAACTGATTTCCTGAGAACTAGTCGGCACTAGGTCAAACTGGATGAAAGAAACTGCAAACTGGTGTTAAAGGAAACTAGTTATAAGCTTTTGGTTCATAACAACAACCTGTAGTCTTACTCCGTCAACTCCTCAAATTTCTGAACCCTTTAAAACAAGAAAAAAATGGAATCGTGTCAGTTGTGTGGAGAATAGTTTGTGATCAAAGCACTCTTGAACCAAGTAGATCTGTGGACACAAATCCCGCAAACACGATCATAGTGATGATGTTTCTACCTCAAAGATTGAATTTCAGGATGGAAGTAGATTGTCAACAACTTTTGACTTGTCCACAGAACTTTGGTCCTGATTGTGGCCCCACAGATCTGTATTGTGGTCAGTGTTGTGAGAAAGTGACTATAGATGCTGCTGTTGCAGTGACTCTGGTGCCAAAGCAGGAAGTGAAGTGACGTGTTCAGAGGTTACATCTTTAAGCATGAGACTATGTCAGTGAAAGGCACCAATTTGTACGATATTTACCGAATATGTGACTTATTGAGACTTAAATCATCACTGATATCGACACTTAATAATTATTTGCCTTGATGTGTTAGAAATAGCATTAATCCATCAACATCTATGCATCACAAAATACATATTTACATTTCAATCTAGCTGATAGTGTACCATGCATGTGAAGGGCCTGAATGAGATACACAAGGCCCTAAAGCTGAATTTTACACCACAGACTCGGCAACTAACTGAAAGCTTGGTCATGCTGGTGCTGGGCTGGTGACTAAGCAGACAGGGCCCTGAAGGAGAATAATATAATTATCCTTACTTGTTGGATCAAGGACTAAACTCCACTCACCACTTCCCCCATTTTGTTCTTTGCATATTCAATACGAAGTCCTCCTCGGTCAGAAGAGAGCAAAACAAAGCCTTGAAGGCGATTCATTGCCATTGAGGCCTGAGCAACATCCTGAAACAAAACAATATGTTAGTTGTCTCCCCTTCAAATTACCTCCCTTTAAAATTATCTCCCTTCAATATTATCTTCCCTTAATGTCTGCTCAAACTGAACATGTTATTGCCTTTCATTTGAAAGTTTACAAAATGATAATAAATCTGAAGTTTATGTTGGAAGGGAACCTCCATGTCACTTGCTAACAGTCTTGACACAGCCCTAACAATGTCATTTGAAATGGTTACAGTAATTATCCTCCAGCACTGCGAAGGATGGAGATGAAAACTTTGTCTGGTGGCCACGGCAATTGGGATTATCTCACCTATATTTTCACCTTTCAATGGAAACTATACTCAAACACTGGCAATGATACCACTCAACATTGATTAGGACCCAATAGTCTTTAGTCCAATATGTATCCTTAGCACATGTTGAAAGGTATACTGATCAATGTCCTGTGTTATTCCAAAAATTACCTGGTCCCAAAACTCTGGCATTGTCTCCACAAAATGTCCACAGATGGCAGATGTATCACTTACTGATTATCCTCCGGTGGTGACACGGGGGCATTGGTCACCAGTACATCACCAACAGCTGGGGTATACACATCAATACCTTCCTATCTCTAGGTGGTTACACAAGGGTATTGGTCACCAGTACCTCACGAAAACCTGGGGTATAAGCATCAATACCTTCCCATCTCTAGGTGGTGAGATGAGGGCACTGGTCACCAGTACATCACCAAGAGCTGGGGTATACACATCAATACCTTCCTATCTCTAGGTGGTGACATGAGGGCATTGGTCACCAGTACATCACCAACAGCTGGGGTATACGCATCAATACCTTCCAACTCTAGGTGGTGACATGAGGGTATTGATCACCAACAGCTGGGATATACACATCAATACCTTCCTATCTCTCGGTGGTGACATGAGGGCATTGGTCACCAGTACATCACCAACAGCTGGGGTATACGCATCAATACCTTCCCATCTCTAGGTGGTGACACAAGGGTATTGGTCAACAGTACATCACCAACAGCTGGGATATACGCATCAATACCTTCCTATCTCTCTGTGGTGACACTAGGGCATTGGTCAACAGTACATCACCAACAGCTGGGGTATACGCATCAATACCTTCCTATCTCTCGGTGGTGATGAGGGCATTGGTCACCAGTACATCACCAACAGCTGGGATATACGCATCAATACCCTCCAACTCTAGGTGGTGACATGAGGGCATTGGTCACCAGTACATCACCAAGAGCTGGGGTATACGCATCAATACCTTCCTATCTCTCAGTGGTGACACGAGGGTATTGTCACCAATACATCACAAAGAGCTGGGGTATACATATCAATACCTTCCTATCTCTCGGTGGTGACACTGACTGACTGACTGAGTTTGGTTTTACGCCGCTTTTAGCAATATTCCAGCAACATCACGCCGGGGGACACCAGAAATGGGCTTCACACATTGTACCCATGTGAGATTCGAACCCGGGTCTATGGCGTGACGAGCCAACGCTTTAACCACTAGGCTACCCCACCGCCCCCTCGGTGGTGACACAAGGGCATTGGTCACTAGTACAGGATTCAAACTCCAAATGACAGATTCCTGGCTTGTGTAAGGTTTGGTTTTATTGTTGTTTAAGACAGCACGTAACAGTATTCCTGCTATGCAGGAGCAGTCTGTAAATAATCAAGTCTGGACCAGACAATCCAGTGATCAACAGCATGAGCATAGATCTGAGCAATTGGGATAAGATGACCTCACCCAAGGCCTGATCACCTCTGATGACAACGATAGGTTGCTGACTTTACTTGACCAACTCTAACCAGAATCCTCATGGGTCATACGCAAGGTAGGCAACTCTTCCAAAAAGGAGATTTATGAGTGAGTGAGTTTGGTTTTACGCCGCCTTTAGTGATATTCCAGCAATATCACGGCGGGGACACCAGAAATGGGCTTCGCATTATTGTACCCATGTGGGGAATTGAACCCGGGTCTTCGGGGGGACAAGCGAACGCTTTAACCACTAGGCTATCCCACCGCCCCAGCAGATTTTTGGCACAGAGTGGTTAGGTTGGGTCACATGACAGATTGTGTGTCCTCCCACACTTATCAGCTGTAGCAGACATAAGACTTTAATCAGACTCTAATGTCAGCATTTTTCTCTACTCTCACACAGATCTAGACTCGATATTACCCTTCTGATTCTACAACTTACCTGTGAACCATCTACTCTCACACAGATCTAGACTCGGTATTGCCCTTCTGATTCTACAACTTACCTGTGAACCATCTACTCTCACACAGATCTAGACTCGGTATTACCCTTCTGATTCTACAACTTACCTGTGAACCATCTACTCTCACACAGATCTAGACTGATCTAGGCTTCGGTATTACCCTTCTGATTCTACAACTTACCTGTGAACCATCTACTCTCACACAGATCTAGACTGCGGTATTACCCTTCTGATTCTACAACAACTTACCTGTGAACCATCTACTCTCACACAGATCTAGACTCGGTATTGCCCTTCTGATTCTACAACTTACCTGTGAACCATCTACTCTCACACAGATCTAGACTTCGGTATTGCCCTTCTGATTCTACAACTTACCTGTGAACCATCTACTCTCACACAGATCTAGACTCGGTATTACCCTTCTGATTCTACAACTTACCTGTGAACCATCTACTCTCACACAGATCTAGACTCGGTATTACCCTTCTGATTCTACAACTTACCTGTGAACCATCTACTCTCACACAGATCTAGACTCGGTATTGCCCTTCTGATTCTACAACTTACCTGTGAACCATCTACTCTCACACAGATCTAGACTCGGTATTGCCCTTCTGATTCTACAACTTACCTGTGAACCATCTACTCTCACACAGATCTAGACTCGGTATTGCCCTTCTGATTCTACAACTTACCTGTGAACCATCTACTCTCACACAGATCTAGACTCGGTATTGCCCTTCTGATTCTACAACTTACCTGTGAACCATCTACTCTCACACAGATCTAGACTCGGTATTGCCCTTCTGATTCTACAACTTACCTGTGAACCATCTACTCTCACACAGATCTAGACTCGGTATTACCCTTCTGATATTGCCTGTGAACCATCTACTCTCACACAGATCTCTACCCTTCTGATTCTACAACTTACCTGTGAACCATCTACTCTCACACAGATCTAGACTCGGTATTGCCCTTCTGATTCTACAACTTACCTGTGAACCATCATAAGTAAATCAATGAAATTCAGCACCTAGGTTTGTAAGGAACACACTTATAATGAACTGCTGGATAAAAAGAACTAAAATAGTGGTCCCTTCCTGTACGTTAGAACCACAGTTTACCGCATGTGTGAATTCAAATCTGATCTCCATAGTGGCTTCCAACAAGCTAACAAGTTATACAGGACTGAGACACGTGAGCCCATAATATAACACCATATAGAGTGAATGCTATTTAATAATGTCAACCAAAGTCTAGACATTGTAATTGATGCTGTGTGAAAATAATGCTGTCTCCATCTAATAATAATTAACATTTCCATCTTGAAGACCACCTCATAGACAAGTCTGTTTGTTATTGAAGTGACCTGATTGTACACAATTTGGTCTGCACAGTGTGCACATTACTGCATCCTGACAGGACTTGGTGATAGGACACCAAGAGTGAGTCAGGTTTTGGTCACTTTTAACATTTTCCAGTCACATTATGAGACATTGTGTGGGAATTAAACCCAGTCTTCGGTGAGACAAACCAACGCTTCCACCACCAGGCTACCCCACTCCCAGATGTGTCAATATATTCTTTCTGAAAACGCAAATGATTATTTCCAGGCTAAGAATGATATTCAAGGTCATTGATATGGTGCCTCATTTGAAAGGGAAAATACACTTTTCACCTCAAAATAACGAAGGCAGTTTCTGAAATTGGAAAAGATTATCTTCCATGGTTGACAACTAGCAACCTCCCCTCCTATCTACCAGTGCCTAACAGGAAACGTTTCCACCTTGCACCAATTACACAGAATTTCGTTCTGAAAGATCAAACCAACACTGAGGGGTTAACAACGATGGGCCATGTACGTTTTTCGAGACACACATGCAGTCTTAACATGCAAAACTGAGGAGATGTGGACACTGGAAGGACGGATGGACGGATGGCCCCAGATAGAACCAGAACATAAAACACACCTGATATTCTACAAAAGCTACAGGTGATCCTCCTTTATTGTGCATACGCAGTCGGCTAAATCCTGCAAAACTGAAACAGAAGAAAAGCAAAATAATGTCAGCAGGAGAGAGCAAAACACTTCAAGGGGGGTAACTGTGGACACCTTGGGTAGGAGAGTTGCTTCCCTTGGATTGCAGTTCTGGAGCAAATTTAGAAGTTACTGATTTTTCTGTAGTCACTTTTACAGTTAACTCATCATTTGATGTAGTTGATCATGTATAGACAAATTACAGATATTGTTCTTCATAAAGATCTATGGATGTCATTAGAAAAAGAAGTCTAAAGAACTGCATCCAATTTAAACTTCGAATTAATTTAAAATATGACTACTGAAGTTCTTACCTTCAAGCTTTCTGTACACAAGTTGATCAATTGTGACCATATTTACCGATACCAGATAAATATACAAAATTGATAACTTTATACCGAATGTAAATGCAAAGAGTATGGTTAGCAAAGCAAGAAAGAAGGGAGGTAACTCTCCTAAAGTTGTGCATCAAGGGACATAATTTGTCTATCAGTGCATGAAACTTACTTGTTTAGATATACACCACAATAACAATAAAAAAAATGAACTTATGCATCAAAAGTTTGGTAATATTTACAAAAACTCAAAGAGCATGTTAAGTTCAAGAAAAATAGTCAAATGAATGATGGTTTCAAAACCAAGGTTTTTCAATATTTTAGAATTGAATATATTTTTGTTGTTACGGTGGTGTAAAACTAAAGCTGAGATGATTACAAGGCAGGGGATGAAATGCTGCTGTCAGGAAATAGTCAATCATAGAACACACTGTGAGATGCATGTCCACGTACTCACTGGTGATACACATGGTCGAAACACAAGAGTACAAGTCAGTCAATTGCAATGGAATAAAAAAATCACGTTCAAAATAATAAGTGGTTCTGTACAGACAATTCAATGGTATGAATGTGGTACGAAGACTGTACAGTACGCCAACACAAAAACTAGCACAAGTTTCCACACATCACGACCAATTCACAAACAACAAGTTACCTCCACCATTGGTGCTAGTTCTTCCCCAAACAATTTTGGTTCAAAGTTATATTTTATATCTTACTCAATATGGATCCAAAATGTACACACAAAAATCAGTTCACATGTCATTTATTGATTTATCAAAATTCAATCACATGATTTATGAAATCATACGTAAACATATTCAAAAGATTATTTGAAATGCTGCGAATTGGTACTCAATTTCAGGACAGGTTGGAAACTTGAGGTTTGTAACTAGTTGTCATGAAACACTGATACATGTACATCAGCAGATGATTGGGTGTTGATGCACAGAGCGTGTTGCCAAGTTCAAACATGCTGGTTTCCTAACAACTTAACATACGTCTTGTTTCACCTAGTGCCCCTCAACCGACTTTTTTATCTAAGATGTGCAGCTATGTTCTACATGAAGGTGAATGTAGAAAGACATTGGCTTGGTGATCACGACTGATCTAGATCCCATAACCACTTTCAGTGTGATGTACATGTCCCCATGCCGTCTAATGCTCACATCTTGCTGGACATTATCCCTCAAAAGACCTGTTGAACAACTTACAAATATATTTTCAGTGGCCATTGTCTTTAACCACAAGCATTCCACGGTTTCCCCCAAATCAATTCAGTTCTTATAGCCTATGCAGTCAGATTTGTTTGTTTGTGACCTTTACATTTCATTTCGCCCACAAAAATGATTTCAACCTCATTCCCATGACTCCAAAGACCTGTTGAAAATGGTAGCACTCCTGTTACCTACAGCTAACACTGTTTCTAACCATTGTTCCCTTTTCGGTAATTTTGGCCTGAGTTCCAAATCCATCTTACAAATAGCGTGGCCTCACCTGTTAAACAAGTCTTTGAGTTCCTGCTCTGAGCTAAACTGTCCCAAATTAGCTACAAACAACGTGGAACAGGGGGCATTCTGCTGTGCTGAGGTGGTGGTGGTATTCACCTGCGACACCGGACTAGCGAGGACGGGCGTAGACGCCATTGAGGGGTGGGGCACGGCCGTCACGGTAGCTTGCGGGGCTATCAGCGTGGTAGGCTGAACTTGTGGGAAAACAGAGTTCAGCTGTTCTGTGAACATACCCGCCTGCAAGAAAACACAGACAATTATCAACATGGCGTTAGTGGGGAGGAGGAAGAGGTGGAGGTTCTTCCTCGAACTGAAACAAAACTGTTATGAGAGTCTGGGCATGGTCTGTGTGTCCTGACGTTGGAGATGGGCAACATTTGGATGGGTAATGCTGGATTGGGGGTAACGTGTACAGTGAAGACTTGGATTGGAAATATGGAGAAGGGTTATACTGTCAATACTGCATAGGTTGTACCAGGGTTGTGCCAGTGTGGGTTGTACCAGAATGGGTTGTACCAGGGTGGGTTGTACCAGAATGGGTTACACCAGGGTGGGTTGTACCAGGATGGGTTGTACCAGGGTGGGTTGTACCAGGGTGGGTTGTACCAGGGTGGGTTGTACCAGGGTGGGTTGTACCGGGGTGGGTTGTACCAGGGTGGGTTGTACAAGGATGGGTTTTACCAGGGTGGGTTGTACCAGGATGGGTTGTACCAGCAATGGAATACAGAGATGACATGATACTCAGGTTGGAAGCAGTAGGGTAGACAGACGAGGGTAAACGAACGAGCTTGCAGGGTGGGTCATACCAGGGTAGGTTGTACCAGCACTCAACAATATTCCAGCTATATGCTGGCGGTCTGTAAATAATCGAGTCTGGACCAGACAATCCAGTGATCAACAGCATGAGCATCGATCTGCGCAATTGGGAACCGATAACATGTGTCAACCAAGTCAGCGAGCCTGACCACCTGATCAATTAGTCGCCTCTTGCGACAAGCATAGTCGCCTTTTGTGGCAAGCGTGGGTTGCTGAAGACCAATTCTACCCCGGATCTTCACGGGCCGTTTGAAACAGTAGGATAGACAGAGGGCAGTGTTGGGGGATAGAGAAAGGGCACCCTGAAAATGAGCTTGCAGTCAAATGAAAGGTCAGGTTATCAAGAAACAAGCTGAATGTGGGAAATATTTGGGAATAAAGTATAATGGGCATGGGTGGAGGGCTGTGTCGACCTGTAGGCTGGAGGTTTGATGGGGGAAGTCTCCTTTGGTGGACGTGCTGGATAGGGGTAGATGGGATACAGTTGAGTTGAAGGTGGGTGGTGGGTTGGCAGTGAGTTGATACCAGGTTGGATGGTTATTACACTGTAGGTAGGTCTGATGGGGGATGTTTCTTTTGGTGGACGTGCTGGGGGGGGTGGGGGGTTAGATGGGATACAGTTGTGTTGTGGGTGGGTGGATGGTGGTTGATAGATGTGAGGTGGTAGGTTGTTGGATGGATGGAAGGAAGGTGGATGGTAGATGGGTGGTAGATGGGTAGGAGGTGGATGGCAGGTAGGTGGGTAGAGGTGGATGGCAGGTGGGTTATAGATGGGTAGGAAGTGGATGGTAGGTGTAAGGATGGATGGTAGTTCGATGTATAGGTGATTTGCAGTGAGTTGATGCCTGGTTGGTTGTTACATGGTACGTAGGGGCAGGGGAGGGGGAAGAGACCTCCAATATCAAAGCCAACTGACCAGCTGCTATACAAGGTGTTGTGTTTGCACTTGTTGGGAGATTACCGCATGCCTACTAGTCATGCCGATAGCCACTTCCTTTAGAATCGAGGGAATTGATTCTTTGTAACAAGAACTGGCAGTAGAGACAGCACCATTGAAATTAAGTTATCACAACTGGGCCTCCATGAAAAGATAAATGGATTGTTGGAAGGTGTGAACGAGAAACAGTTTTTGGTTGGGCCTTGACAATTTGTGGCAATGGCTGGTTGATCGAGACCCCATTACCAGAGCAACAAAGCTCAATGTTCGCCTGAGGCTCCCGAATTAAGATAAACAGTTTTCCACAAAGTAGCATTAACTACATTCGCTTATGGGTCTCCCTAGGTAATTTACACAAAGTGCAAGGCGTGAAGCTAACAGGCATCTTAGAACTAGCTGACACAGAAGCACTGCCAATTTGATACAGTGACAAGATTACGGCTTGCTTCAACTCATCTCCAACAAAACAATCCCCTTAGATTTTGTCACTTCTAATTTACACACAGGTAAATAAATCTATTTCAGTCGATGAGATTAATACATTTGAGGGACAGGCTCGGAATGCAGCAACGTATTATTAATAAGTCCTCTGGGCAGTCTATTGTTGGCTTTACATACAAGCGGAGGGTAAGTGCTGGGGTGTTACTTTCTAAATCAGGTGCTTTCATATCCATTTCTACAAACACACCAGATGGGGTGCTGTCGTAGGGGTAGGGGGTTCTGTTGTGGGGTAGAGAGTGCTGTTGTGAGGTTGGGAGTGCTTTTGTGAGGTTGGGAGTGCTGTTGTGGGGGTAGGGAGTGCTGTTGTGGGGGTAGGGAGTGCTGTTGTGGGGGTAGAGAGTGCTGTTGTGGGGTAGGAGTGCTGTTGTGGGGGTAGAGAGTGCTGTTGTGGGGTAGGGAGTGCTGTTGTGGGGTAGGGAGTGCTGTTGTGGGGGGTATAGGAGTGCTGTTGTGGGGGTATAGAGTGCTGTTGTGGGGTAGGGAGTGCTGTTGGGATTGCTGCTGTGGGGGTAGACTGCTGTTGTGGGGTAGAGAGTGCTGTTGTGGGGGTAGAGAGTGCTGTTGTGGGGGTAGGGAGTGACACTTGTTGGCATGATGTTGATGGAAGTTGAAGGGGTGGGAGGGACCATACCAGCTGGCATGATGTTGGAAGGTTGGGGAGGTACACTAAATATTGTGGGGGGAGTCAACACATGGGGAGTTAAGACAGACCCACAAGGTGGTTGCTACTTCACCTTTGGATGGGAATGAGGTTGGTTGTTCATTGTAGAGGTTGAACAAAGGCAATGGTCAGCAACTTAGGGGGTGGGGCAGCAATTGGGAGGACGAGGAAAGGGGTTGGGAACAACAGAACTGGGGATATGGACAGTGACTCAAGACAATATCAGTGGAGACCTAGCCAAGACTGTGGCATGTTCAAGGATAGGGGTGGGGCAGGGGAAGGGGTTGGGATTGGAGAGTGGGGAATTAGATTGGGGTGGGTTGGTGAGGAGTGGGTAATTGAGAGAGGAGGTGGTGGTCCTGTACATGAATACAATACCATCATTAACAATCATAATATCAGATCAACAACAAATATCTGGCATAGTCAAATTACAAATATCTTTCCAAACACATTCCCTGTATACAATACAAACACTACATGGACCTGTAGCAACTTATAAACTGGAAGCTATGCCAGGTATTTGTACACAAGTATAAGCAATTTATGGACCTATGTTTCTAAGCAGCACACAAACATTTCACAACTACAAAAACTTAACATTCTCACTTAAATCAGTTTCTTTAGCACTATACAAACTAGAGCCACTTGATAAAACAAAGCAAGTTCCATTATAAGCAAACAAATAAATAGTCATAGTATTCAGTTATATATTGTAGCTGTACAGAGTGCAAGAACTTATAGCAATGGAGAATTTCATGATTTGAAAGAACCAATGCTTAATTTCAATCCAGGGTCATTGATTTGTAACAAGTTCTGATCAAAACACCTTTTTTGCTTGGTTTTTGATATATTCTTTTCATTTAAAAACAAAAGTTTTTCATAACAACTTCTTGTTATAATACTAAATTCAAGTTTTTCTTAATTTAATTTTTTTTTAAATTTTGAATTTCAAGGTAGCCGAGAATAACAAAAACTGAATATTTTAAGTGAAATGACTTCTTGTTATGATTCTATAAAATCTAATCACAAGTTCAGCAGGGTCTGTTTTTAATTGAATGACATTTCAGTCCTGACACTGAATATAGTTCCACTTATTTAATTTGAACAAAATCATTTATTGAAATGTAAATACCCAAAGTTGTTTTAAAATAGACAAAAAAGTTTTCAAATATTTCTAAAATAGATTCAACTATTGTGTCAGATTCAACAAAATCATTTGGATTTATAAAACATTAGCAAAATAGGCCAAAATATCTTGAGTCAATTGTTTAAAATTAATCTCTGAACACTTCTAAAAAAGCCCTAACATTTTTTTAAAGTTAAATTTTGAATCTGAATTTGAATTAAGAAAGACCTGAAATGTTTGTTTCAGGCTAAAGAGAATAGTTGTCAGAGATGGAGAATTTCTCCAGCTCCATGAAGAGGTGTGAGATCGAACCAACCTGGTATTGCCATACGGAGCCAGGAGATGTTGCACAGGGTGGAGGTGCTTTCTGAATCTGATGTAGTAGACAAATTGCTTGTAAATAATCAGCAAATTGGAATATTCTTTGGATTTCAACAAAAGGTGTGATCCTTGGATTTGTCAGTCAGGAAACTAATCATAGGCTTGAAGAATACTGATTCTTACTTATCTTTTTTTCCAAAACCAGTTTACGTCCGCTCCATAAGGCGTGGCAACACCTCAACTTTCTGTGTCATTGCAGTGCTAAGAAAAGCATATTCCTGAGTTTTGGCAGCAGACATTACTGCCATGGAGACAGAGAAAAAGCTCCCACAAAGGTGCAAATTTTCCCTTGTTTCAGTACTCAAATAGACATGGAACTGTGTAACAAATTCACTGCCTGCTTCACTCCAAACAGACAAACCTACATATATAACGGAGTGATATGAACCCTGTACATAAAGGAGTGATACGAGCCCATACAGGACAGCATGACCTAAACCCATCCATCATGGAGTGATATGAACCCATATATGCTGAATGATACATCTCCCTGCATAACAGAATGATATTAAACCATGTATAACGGAGTGATACGAACCCATGTTTAACAGAGGGAAATGAACCCAAATCCATTTATAACAGACTGATGTGAGCCCAAACCTATGTATAACTATGTGAAATGAACCCATATCCATACATGATGGACTGATACAAGCCCATATACAATGGACTCATACTAACGCATATAGTACGGCACAATATTAACCCTTTTATGAACACATGTATAACAGAGTGAAACAAACCTCTACATAACAGAACGATATTAACCCATACATAACGGACTGATATGAAGCAATGTATAATGAAGGGATACACACCCATATAACATAACGGAGTGATACAAACCCATATATAATAATGTATCGCATGTCCCAAACATCCCATAGACAAACTTATATTCTGGTTAGATACTCCATTATGTTAAACCATGCATCCTTGTTGCTTCTATGTCTCACTGAAATAACACAGAAAGTCTAGAGTGTTCTAACTGTGGAGAGACTGAGGCCTCTTGACGTTTAACTAACAAACAAACATTCATAAATTAACGATTAATTCTTTCACATCCTGGCTGACAAATCCACGATGTCACCTTTAATAAACGTGCTCAGGTAAGAAACCAATAATGTTTGGTGTCGTCCTTCAAAAGGTTTGCCAAACCTCTTTAAACGAGATAAGGAATCTCATTTTTCAGGTGTGACAACCAAAAAGGTTATTTTCTTGAACTCTGTGCATCTTTCAAAGATGTTAAAGTCATTGCATAAAAAACAAACATGGTCAAACAAACAAGAAATACATGTTTGGTATGCACACCTTAAAATGTAATGTCAAAATTTTAAATTTATAATTTTCCAAATTGGATACCCAAATTTCAGATGGACTGGTCTGTTTCTTTGATATTGATCAGTCCACGTTGATTTAAGGTTAACAGGTGTGCATACCATTTCTTCATTTATTGCACTGTGCGAAACATTACAGAATGCTCAGGGTGAGTTAGATGAGCCGGTTGAACAGTGTGCAGATTATTTGAACAACCATTGCTTTAGTTTTTTTCTCAACATTTCCAGGAATGTCTGTGCAGTGTACATCATGTGATGAACCTTTCGAAGCCAAACTAACACTTAACCCATATCAAGAACATTGTACAACAACAAGAAAAAACAAACAATATAGAACTGTGAAATATCAACATATTGGAATAAAACACAAATATTAAAACCAGGAGACTGCTTTAATACTTTCCCCAAATCACTACGATCATGTGCTAAAACTTCAGGGTTTTTTATGAAATTTGTCAGATATGACTGTTACCAAGAATTAGATATGACTGTTACCAAGAATTAGCTTGAATAAACTGAGAACAACATTCCCATCTCTACCTATTGTTAAAGTCACATAGAATCTCAATTTCAACATAACATTTCCATAATCTTAAGCACAAGAAGAATACAACAATGAAAAAGGGCAATTTGGAATTTTGTGTTCATCTCACAGGACAAAATCTTGGAAAAGGGAATTCATCAAATGATGAAGTTTTGTAACTTAATGACTGACACCTGTAAACAAAAACAATTAAACAAAGAAAATTCACATTTTGGAACAAATTTCATTGCTGGACTTACAGTTGATATTTGGAAGTTAATTACACCCAAGGAACTCATAATGGAAGGCAGTAGTTTAACTGCTTGAGTGCCATGCTAATATATGTGACCATTGGCTGAATTAGTTTCAGAATGTGTATGGAACGTGTCTCTCGACAAGTGTTTACTGAAAAAAGGGCAAACAAAGAGAAATAATTCACTTCATCAGACATCGCAACCAAAAACAGAGTTAGTTATGAAAGATGTTTGAAATGCCCTTCCATTCAAGGGAGATAACTCAAGATGTTTGCCATATAAACCATGCGAGCCTGTGCTTCGAGTTAGCATCTCAGTGTCAGGGCCTAGGTGGTCTTAGTAGGTGAGATTTGCACGTGTATTCAAGTAGCCACAGAGCATTCACAGTGGCTTAGTAAAAGTGGACTTGGAGTGGACTTATGGTGGACTTGAAGTGGACCGTCATCATGCTTGGAAGTGTTGCCAAAGCATGTTCTGGAATTTGAAAATGGTGAACTTAAGTTGAACTTAAGCTGAATTGTCAAATATGGGATTTGTGCTTATGTATACCTTTCTAGAACTTGATGGTATTCAACCTGAAACATGTACATTAACACATCAAACATACCAGCCTAATATACAGTTGCTAGGAAAGTAGTATGTGACAGATTTATAACACTCTTACAAGGAGTTAGGAAAGTAGTACATGACAGCTTTAGAAAACTGACTGGGTGTTAGGGATACAGTATGTGACAGCTGTGACTATGACAAGGTGTTTGGGAAGTAGTATCTGACAACAGCAGCACAAAGCCGAGGTTTGACTGATTGGGTAATTTGAAATAATCACAAACATGATCACCATAAAAAAAAACAAGACGCTTTTCAGTTGCAAAGATTAGGCTATGAAATACCTTTGACACTTTTAATGTGTTATAAACGTTATATCAAACAGAAATATTTTGGGTAGTTTCGTGTGGGCTCATTTGGTATTCAGCTTGGTCCCCCCTCAACTGCCTCTTATTATACTATTGCATCACCTAAACTGTAACCCAACCCCAACCCCCCAACCCCCATTTGTTTCCCAAATTTGATATTCAGACTACATTTATGCATTCATATGAAAATTCACAAATAATTGCCGTCCAGTCTACAATATACCAAAAGTATTTCTCTTGAATAAGTTAGTACAGCAATTCTAGTACCGTTACTTTTCTAGCAAGTATATACTTATCTATTTAAACACTGTGATGTCATGTTAAATTTTTGAATCAAACACAGTCTGTTTGAAATATGAGATTTTCAGCTTTTGACATTACACCTTAACTTTTTCTTTAAACTTACGTGTATTAGAATATAGGATTCTTAAATTCCGTTAAACCTCTCTCCAACATATGCTACCTTGATAGTATATGTAAACAAGTAAACGACTGTCACAGTGTTTTGACAACATGTTAAGGTGCAGTACATGGTGGAAAATGTGAGCAGAGAACCCCATCTATAGTGTCACACAGATCACAGAGTAACAACTACGACTGACGTACGACCAACCGACCGACGTACGACCGAACGGCCTCCTTTCGCCACTCGTTTCTTTGCACTGTGCAATAAATGAAGGACAGGAGACACTAACCCGCACCGGTACCTGTGCTAGAGCCGGGTGTTGAATAAGTGCAGTGTGGTGTAACGCTGCCGCTGTCGGTGCCAGTTCGGGGTACGGAGCAAGAGGGTGAGGGGCCCACGCTTCGGGGCAGCCCGGGAAAAAGGCGGCACCTAACTCTTCTGCAAGTGAAGGTAAAAAAGACACGCACACGTGAATTGCTAGTAGGGTGAGTGAAATACAGGAGGTCATTTGCAAACACACTGGTAACATCTCTCTCGTATAAGCTGCCCAGATCTTAGGATTAAGACTACTTAATGACTCAATGTGTTTTATTAGACTAAATGTGAAAAAAAAACAATCAAATTTTTTTCATTGAAAACTATTTACTGATTAAACTACATTTAGCTCATCTGTAAAAAATACATGAAAAACCGTTGAACCATATTTCATTACTGTTCTATCTTTTACATGAATTTGGTCTTAACTTTGTCATAGCGCCAGTGAGCACCTGCCGAGGTTACTAGGCGCTTTCTAAATCAATTATTATTTGTTTCTTTAACACTATTTACTGATTTCATTGTATTTTACCTTTCAGTTAAAAACACATGAAAGACAATTGAAATGTATCATATATATATTTTTTGGAATCTATCGAAAGACTGAATGACACAAATCCATTCTAAAAAATTCACAAGCAAACATGATATATGATACGGATTTAATAAGCATAGATGGTCAGATCAATTTATATTTGTTTATTTGAACTAAATTTGAAATTTGATTTACAATATATGAGAAAGATATTTTTTCATGTTACTCCCAAAAGTAGATTTCATAAAGTGCTTGTTCTTCATTCAGTGTCCTAGTCTAAATGTTAATGGGGCAGTCGGGGTATGCATGGATGCCAACTTCTTTTTCTTGAGGAACACGACTTTGGGGGTATATTCTAATCCCTTCACAAAGTACCAACACTGTACCTACAACCCCACTATAGGCTATCACACACCCTATAAGTCATGAAAATGTTATTCAGTATTATTCAGTATGTAGTATTGAAGTGAATCTCATGACCAATTTTAACATCTAGAAAGAAGTCCAATCCTTATTCAACCTGTTTAAGAGCTTTTTAGAAGAAAAGGTATTTTCTGTCTCAGGCTTAACTGCAAGTTAAAACAAATTACTTCCTTGTACAATGATCAATGTTATAATTTTGGTGACAATCACAAGAATAACAAATATCTTAAGAACATGTCAAATTCTTTGATACAATCAATTCAAGCTATGAGGTTATTTTACACTGTATGCAAATTTTATGCAAAGAATGCTGATTAATAGGGCAACCAATGACAAATGTCAAGTTTTTAATCCCTTTTGTAAAATTAAATAACATAAAGTTCATAAGGTTTAAATGTGAATATCAATTTGCGAGTTTTGGCCATCTCTTTCACCATCCATACAGTGGATGAATGTAATGTATGAGAAATGCCAGTGTATACTTTTTAATGATGTCATTTCTCAGAAATAGTCAAAGAGAAGAATAATCTTCATATTGTTGCCCTTATGTTACTCCATACTAACTGTCTGGGTTTAAATTTAATGTTTTTAGTTTCTAAGTGCTTATTGTTATTAAGTGCCTCAAAGTAATTCAAGGGTGCCTATTCAAGACTATATTTGGTGCTTATATTAGAGAGACTGGACATCATACCGTACATCAACACATTCAACACATGTTCAACACACATTCAACAGAGTCATGGGACTCAGAGTAGGAACCAGTATGCCTCCGAGAGCAGCATGCACATTCAGCCTCTCCTTGCTTGACCAAACCTTGTAGCATCAAATCAACCTACTGACAGAACCTGGTTCATTCAAAGGCAAAGCCAAACTCTTAAAGAGCATACCAAAAGAGTTCTTGATGAGAATTTGATAACAGTACAGTGAAACCCACTACTATACACACTACCATTCCCAGTGAAATTTCCACATACAAATCATGGTCTGGAGTTATGTCCCTTTGTGCATAGATTTACAGAGTTATGTCCCTTTGTACATAGATTTGATGTCTATTTGAATGACATGAGTTCTGTCCCTTTATACATAGATTTATAGAGTAATGTCCCTTTATACATAGATTTATAGAGTAATGTCCCTTTATACATCGATTTATAGAGTAATGTCTATTTGAATATGGACCCAGATGAGTGGTGTCCCTTTATATTTGAACCAACAAGAGCAATGTCCCTTTCCAAACCATGATCATTCCTTAATTGAGGGATAGGATAATGGTAACAGGGTTTCACTGTATTGTAACAATACAATATTATTTTCTAATTTGCTGATTCTTTCGTGTTTGTTTCAACATTACTTTGCATGAAACAGGTTGGTCTGTAAGTAGAAGCGAGACCATCGGCCGACTTAGACTGTGCGGGAACACATAAAGCACGTCCGTGCAAAGCAATGTTATATGGATTCATGATGTGCTGAACATTCACAAATATACAAGACGGGATGTCACACTGGAAGTCAGGGTGTAGAGAAGATGCAGTCCCACTTTAGCAATATTTCAGCCATATTGAGCAACGAGTCCTACCAGGATTTACATGTAGGGCAGATGTAGTCCTACTTCAGCAATATTTCAGCCACACTGAGCGGCAAGAATCACACTGGATGGTGGGGTATAGATGAAGAACATGTACAGTCCACTTCAGCAATATTTCAGCCACATTCAGCAACAAGTTACACTGGGTGCATAGAAAACCAAATTTACGTCAAACTGTAGCAATATTTAAGCCAGACAGAGAGGGCAAGAGTCTGGATGTTGGGTATATATGAAGCCAGATGCAGTCCACTTCAGCAATATTTCAGCTATGTGATGAGCATTGAGCCAGATGTTGCACATGTTCCTAGAGCAGGGAACAAGGTGGCCATTTTCCGCCTGTGTGGAACATGTTCCCCCAACAGAGAAAAAGTCCTTATTTGGCTCTTGTATTAATTAATCAAGTAAAGCATCATAAAAATATAACATGACATTTACTGTTCCAAGTCTCAGAGGCTAAAGCAGTTGACAAAATGAAATGCATAACTCAATATGATGCTAAACAAAACCAGATCAGTGCAGGGAAATTAGGCTAAAACCTACTGACTCAAGTTGACGTTAATGACAAAATTATTTTACATCAAAGCATCTTCTTTGTAAAAATATAAGATATTAGGCCGCGGAGACCTCAAGGTTTTGTGCTATTAATTCTCAGGACCTCTGAATCATAGAACTTTGACATGTGGGTTTTGACAAGGACCCAACGACACCCTGAGTTGACGTCAACACTATGTAGAGGGTCATACTTAAGAAAAACAGAATGGTGTTGGTGTCATGATGCTTCTGTGCTGGATCGTGCAAGTGTCTTCGGGGACAGTGGAACAATCGCCATTATCAGTATAAGCTGGTGGGGGGGACCAGAGGTTTGGAGGTCTCTGGTAGCATGAGCACCTAGCCATGTGGTACAAACACACACAATCAGCCTGGTACTCACCAAGGGGAGACAAGCTCAGGATACTGGATGTTTCAGCAACCCTGTAATCCCACTAGCCAGACAAGCACGCGGTACTGTGTTCTAAGTGACTGTTATTCCCAGGATATTGGGGATGTCCAGCCAAGACACCTTGTTGTGGCTTTTAACTGCCTATATAATCCTCACAGGAAGACAAGCCTGAGGTACTGGGTTCCCCCCAGGGAAAGGTAGTTGTAGAATGTGTCTGTGCACTTGTGGGCAAGATGGGGGTGTACTTACGTCCTGTCAGAGGGTGGATGATGGTCGGGTGGGTGGCAGCGAGCTGCGGAGACTGTTGTTTAGGCTTTGTCACTTTTGTGTTGCTCTTGGCGAACTCCAATCTCAAAGTCTGGGGGAGGTCAGGGTCGAATCTTACTCCCTGAAAGAAACACATCCTCATCATGATCATGGTAAAAACCCAGTCATGGCGGACTGTAAATAATCTGGACCAGACAATACAGTGATCAACATCATGAACATTGATCTACATAACTGGGATACGGTGACACGTGTGGACCAAGTCAGTGAGCCTAACAACCTGATCCTGTTAGTCGCCTCTTAAGACAAGCTGGAGGTCACTTCTTTACAGGTTATCCAGAATTTTTTTGGGAATGTAGTGTCTGCACATCAGATTATTAGTTCAATCACAAGTTTTAAATTAGAAAAAGAATTGTACCATTTCGTCTCCTGGTTACACTGACTGACTGACTGAGTTTAGTTTGACGCCGCTTTTAGCAATATTCCAGCAATATCACGGCGGGGGACACCAGAAATGGGCTTAACACATTGTGCCCATGTGGGGAATCGAACCCGGGTCTTCGGTGTGACGAGCCAACGCTTTAACCACTAGGCTACCCCACCGCCCCCCTCCTGGTTACAAGTTTACGAGATCACAATAATGTCATGAGGTCTCACCTGAAGGTCCTGTTTGGCCGACTCAGCAGCCACTCTGGATATGAACGTGACAAATCCCACTGGCTGAAAATTAAAACGCATCTACAGTAATTAATGCGTTTTAATGTCCAAAACTACATGAACAAAGACACAAAAAACACCCTGAAAACAGACTTCTTTAACAAAATAGGACAAATGTGAAAAAAAGATTTTAGCATTGTTACATAAAAACAATATTCTTAGGATTACTTTGACCATCAATTTTGCAAATTGCATTAAAGGTGTATAAGGGAATGTTGAAGATGCACCAACGTCTACTACACCACTGAGACTACAACTACGTCAACACTGCCACAAGGAACCAAGCACCAAGTACTGTATTGGAAGAGCTACAGCTTCTATTACACACAATACTGAATACCTGGACAAAGATGCTGCATATACACTAGAACATGGATATAACCTACTCCAAGGGACCAAGAAATTTAGTTCGCTATATCCGTTGTTCGTTATTCACATTTGACCGCCATCTTGGATTTGGCGGGGCCAAAATCAGTAAACACAGATTTTGCAAGAATAGATTCGCGATTCTTAATAATGGAACTCAGAGTGGATTTTGGAATGCCAAAGTCGAAAGCCATGTTTGTCTTAGATTTTACACCTGAATCTACAGCCTGAATTATCTGAAGCTTGGTGTCAAAGGTGATAGCTTTACGTTTGCCTGCCATAGTGACGTGAACTGAAGACCTGTATACCAGTCAAGCTTTTAAACACGATATGTTTTTTTTAGTTAATTAATTAATGACCATCAAACAATGTTGACATTTCAACATTTTGTACAATTTTACAGGTTGGGGATCTTATTTTCATGTTTGTCATATTTCTGTGATAACAGTATTATTTCATATTTCTCCTATTTCAATGATGATGCTTGACCAGAAACAGAAACTTTAGCCCGTCCTCAAATTGTCCTGCATGGTGAACAACTTCCATTATGGATAAGGTTTTTCTGAGTCGAAACATTCTTTTTGGAAACTAATCCCATAAACTCCCATTGATCAGATTAGCTGCCAGTTCACTGAAAGCATCAATTCATGTTGATACTGCTATAATATTGCTGAAAGTGACGTAAAGCTCATTCACTGGTATCATGTCTATAAAAAGTATTAAAATTTAACAACAGAGAATTGTAATGATTAGAAGCATTACTTCAAATGACTATATCGAGAATTATTGTATGCAAGTTGGTAGCAGACACATTAAAGATAATCAAAACTCTTTATTTTTGTGATTTACTGTTGATAAAGGTTAAAGACTGCACTTAGCTATACATTGTTAAGATCAAAGGGATTTGTATTTAACAGAGTCCTCAAGGGTTGTTCGCTACTCGTTACAAATATTTCATTATAACGGTTTCATTTTAATAAGGATTTTGATATTAACAAGGAATTTAAGCAACAAATAATTTAGTTCTAGGTTAATTTAAATCCATTATGATACTATAGTTTGCTTATGATGGGGGATCTTAGGGTTGGAGAATGGAGGACGGATGGATGTTGGGGGTTGAGGTTGGAGGATGGATGTTGGGGGTTGAGGTTGGAGAATGGATGTTGGGGGTTGAGGTTGGAGAATGGAGGATGGATGTTGGGGATTGAGGTTGGAGTTTGGAAGTTAGGTATTTGTCTTATCAAACAAATATTTAGCCAATCAAGGTAGTTTGTTCCTTGAACAAACATACTGAATTTATCACAAAGATCATCAGACTGTATCAACACACACTATCTGAATTCACAGGTTGTTTGAGTCAACTGCAGTTAAAAGGAAAGTTTAAGATGACATTAGCACAATACGAAGCTGAAGACAAGACATGACATATGCATACTCAACAATACTTAACAGCAGAACAAAACAGGAAGACACCAGGACAGAGCATTACACCACTACTGCATGTACCAGTTCTCTACAAGGCTGAAACAAGCACCCACTCCTCAGCGGACCACGCTGCCATCTTGCCTTGGAATGGCATTAGAATTGACATATAAGCGAGAGAGTTTATAGACCCCAACTTCTGTTTATAAGGGATACAATGTTTGAGATATTTACTCCTTCATCTATCAACATTCACGTGACATAGCTGCACAGAGGCTATTTATCAGGAATATAATACCCAAATGTTTGATCTCAGATTATACTGTAATACAATGCCCATTCATTTGTATAACCTGTATCACTACATACTTGGTATGAAGATTACTTTCCTGGAAACTATCATTTCTCCTGTGATGTTTTGATCTCAAATTGAAATACAATGCACTGTCCTATTGAAAGACAGATTTCCTTACAAAGAGCCGAGCGTTGATGAGAATCAGTTTACTGATGGAGTTCAATGTGCAGATATAGGCTATACAGTTAAGCTCATGGAGAATGATTGAGTTTAACAGTGCTGCATCAGTAAGTCCCCCATCATGCCATGCGGGGGCTGTGATGCAGTGATTGTAGGCAGCTTCATCCGATCCCAACACCCACATGCACCCACTGATATGAACATTTTGTTGAGAAATCTTCAAGCACTTGTCAGAAGATGTACAGATTGAAATTATACATTCAAACAAGGACATCTTGAAGAAAGGCTGACAGATGGATACAACGTTAACAAAAACCAAAAAACACAAAATGTTCATAGAGAGCAAATATACTCATGGAAAGTAATAAGGGATAAGCTATGTTCAGCAAGCTGTGAGTCACCTGGAGGTGACAAAAGTTGCCTGAAAGGGATGGTACTGTAAAGTCAAATCAGATACCGATACTTTACTTCTTGATTTGGAGCTTGCTTCTTTGGTGAAGCGTTCCCTTATCAATTTACATTAGTATATGAGTGAAATTGTGGAAGGCCAAATACATCACAAAGTTTCCTTTTTATATTTATAACAGGTTGACAAGTGAACCTTTGCTTGTATTTAACCTTCCTGAGTGATCTCCCTTTCCTTGCTAGACCTTTCAAACTTCAGACGCAGACAAAATACAAATTGAACATTGCTAGTTTCCTTCTGATCACTTGAAAAGTCTGCATTAAAGTGGAGATAACTCTCAGTGACGGTGAATACTTACTGATGTGTTTTTGCCGTTTTTGTTGGTGACCTTGAGAAGTGAACCTTCATATCCCTGCAAGAATAGAAACGTGCAACGTGATGCTACTGCAAGTCGGCTGATGCAATCAATGTGTTAATGGCGCTTGCTCCATTGTAAGGTGGTGTACCAACGGTAGTTGGCATATCTACATGCGGTGTCGCTAGCATGTGAGTTTTTATCTCGTCATGTGACGGTGCTCCCCCGTGTCAGTGAAAATGCAACACTCTACGGATTCTCTTTTGCAAGAGAATCGCCATCTGTGAAAGCTCATGTGCAGTTCCGGTTGTTACTGTCTTGACATTTTCAGGACTTGAATATTTTAGATTCTCATGCATTGCTGGACATTCTGTTAGTGTGATGTACAATTTTCCATTTAAAACTTGTTTCATGAAAAGACATTACTACAATGTGCCTTAACAATCTTATTCTTAGAAAAAATAGGTTTCTTTTAGTATTAAAACAGTATAGAAAAACAAAACATTGATTTACAATTGATGAGAACAATTTACAATACATAAATTTTGATTGCGCAACATTGAACACTGATGTAGAATTGATTTACTGGGGGCAGTTTCAGTTTCAGTCATTATTTATTTCCATACCTGAAGAAATCCAATGATTAATGGAAAGTTTTCGACAACATCTAAATGACATCATTACACGACTAGTAATACCATATCATGTGATGTGAGAATGTATGACAGGCGTGACTTGTGGGGTGTTGAAAGCCGACTGTGAAAGTGAATACTTTGGTAGCTGGGTGATCATTTGACAGGTCATGTGGCATGTCATGTGACATGTCATGTGACCACGTATGTGTGCATCCACAGAATTTCTCATATACTCACACAGTTATTTTTGCCAGGCTTCCCCATAACTTTTAATAAACCATTTTCAAAACCCTGAAAATGATAGCAACACATGACAATCACAATGCGTAAGGTTTGATTTGGGGTCTCGTACTTGAGTTAAACATTTAACGGTCACGGGAAGTGAGGTATACATTGTACCCAGAATCAAACACCAGGAATGCCCACAAAGTGTGGAAGGACCCTGACAATGACAGTGAGCGCCATTTGCGACGTGAAATATTTTTGTAGATTCAAACATGGCAGCAGCAGGTGAAGATGAAGCTGCCGTTTCCATTCTGTGAAAGGAAAAATCCTTTCACAGACAAATTTAATATCACTGATTCACTTTTCCATTTCTGTAATGATTATCATTAGAGAGTGTTTGTGTATTTAATATTTGACATTTCGGGTTTGAAAAACTTCATAGTGACATTAAAAACTAAGACAAACAAGGTGAAATTGCATCGATGTACAGCAACAAAACGGATGTTGACATGAATCTGGAAGAGCTGCCATCACCAAACGACTGGGAATCAGGGAAAAACCTTCAAAATATTAAGTAAACATTGGTTGTTCCCCATCACCATTCCTGTCAGCCCAGCTGGGGACACAGGTTGGAGCAGATATGGAAGTTTTTCTCAAAGGTATTGCTCGTTTAACAAAACTAACACTTTGCCGGAGAGCACTTCGAGCCATGAACTGCCAGAATAATCTAGCTCTACTTTGGCTCATTAAAAATACACATGATCGTCCGTCCATCAAGCAGGCCAACTTCAACGTTCATTGTAGCAAGGGGGGATGGTTTTTGTGGGAGATGGAGGGACAAATCAATAATTATCGAAGGTCTTAGACACTATCTTAGCTCCATGCATCTCACAATTGCCATGCTCCAGTCCCGCGGGGCAAATTTGCACTGCAAAAATCAATGGCATGGAAAAAGACCCTCTATGGCGAGTATTCATGCATATGCTTGAAGCACAGGGAAGTTACGTGTGGAGTGCGGACTTCACACCTGAATAGTTATCTGGCTGGCCGGGAAGAAGTCTGGTCCTCCTGGCCGTGCAGCCATTGCCAGGAATATCCAGACTGCAGGTGAGTCGGGATACGGGAGTGCACCCAAGGGGGATCTATATCCCAGCCCTATTACGTGCAGCTCTGCCAAGATGAAAACTACTCAATGCTCGGCACAAAACTGTGTAAACTAACATTAAGTTGAATGAGCCATCTCCCAAAGCTGATCCTCACTGTCAGTGGGATATACACATCGCTGTATTTATGTCACAAGATGAATCACTCTGAAGTTGTCAACAAGGAAGACAAACCTGTGAAGATACGGGCTAGAACTGGTCTTCAGGAACCCATGCTTGTGATCTTCTAGGGCTAGAATTGGTCTTCAGGAACCCATGCTTGTGATCTTCCCGGGCTAGAACTGGTCTTCAGGAACCCATGCTTGTGATCTTCCCGGGCTAGAACTGGTCTTTAGCAAACCATGCTTGTCATGAGAGGCGACTAAAGGGATCGGGTGGTCAGGCTCCCTGTGTTGGTTGACAGATGTTGACAGTTGTGTATATCAATGCTCATGCTGTTGATCTGGTCCAGACTCAATTGTTTACAGAGTGCCGCCATGTAACTGGAATATTACTGAATGCAGTGTTAAACAACAAACAAACAAACAAAGAGGAAGTTGACAGCTTCCCTCCATCTAGTGTGCACCCTGGACCTCCCAGTCTCATCACTGGCCTTCACCTGAAGAATATTTGGAATGAGTGAGTGTGTCGGGTTTATTGCCACTAAATGAATCCCGACATGTCAGTTTGATGCAGATGGAGATCATGGCATTGAAAGTTGTGGCTGCTACTGATGTCATGAAACACATGGGCTGTGCTGGACTCTGGGATGTCTCATGGGGTGAATACTGGGGTCTAACCTTGACTAGCGGATCCTGGTGTGTCCTTCACTCCACAAATGACAAACATCATTGTGGAAACAGTCACAGCCCAACATGTCGTGACAAATATATTTAAGATCGATGATCCCACATAAACATGTATCAGGGAAGACGTAAATCCACTGATTGCCTGGTGTTGTATATGAAAATCGTCATCCAGTTGTTATTGCCATGTGATCAATAGTCGTTGTTTCTGTAACGACACCCCAGGGGACGATGTGACTTAATCCCTTCTTCAGCCTTATGTCCGATCTCGTTTTAACGCCTTGTCAGTGCTCAGTTTTTCAATCCAGATTTCAATTTTCCATCTTCCATTTCCTCTCCTGTGTAATTTGTATTCGATACAAAACTGAAAAGTATTTCAAACGGTGGAATCTCATTACTGTAAAGTGCGGTGATAATTTTAAGCCTGACATGCACTTTCCCGTAACAGCTTTCGAGTCGACTTACAATGACATTTATTCACAACACACTTGAGTATATATTATTTTGGGGCAAATAATCAATAATGGAAATTCTATTAATGCAAATGTCCTTGTTGTTGTGAAACAAGGAAAACTCAACATTTTCCTCCATTACAGCATTTGAAATATTTCTTAACAAAGGGAGACAACTCTAACTCCTCACTTCTGTCAAGGACTGGTTCTGTGCATGAATTAAAGGTAAACACTCACAAATACCACAGAATCACCTTGTGTAGCCAAAACATCTGAATGTTCATTTTCTATACACAAACAAATAGAAATAAACTCAATGTTTTCTTCAAAGTTCTCAGAACCAAGAACGTTTTGTTGTCAATGTTTTGAGACCTGAATTAATTCGTAATCCAATGACCTTTATATTTCAAAGCTTGAAATCTACTCAAAGTCTGTAATTGTGAACCTTTTTCTTTCTCTTGAACATTCCAACAAAAAGAAGGTGGTTGCCATAGCAACACACATGAGCGAGTAGCAATCTCAAATGTCTCAAAACTAAATCGGGAGAATGCTGTCATGCAAATTGTAATTGTCTCATGGGCTTACGACTGAATCAATTCCAATAAATGAAGACAGTCAGTCGACCACTCGTCAACAGCACCAAACTCACATGCACAAACATTCGAAATAATTCTTCTAAAAAATCTCATTTAACATGGAATGTCGGCTGAGAAACATTTCAAGCAAGTGATCAGCTCTATATCAGGATAGAACCAAGTCTTGATGAAGAATCATGACGTCAAATAATGCTTCAAGAAATATAAACTCGGAAATTGGTCTAGACATATTTAAGCGCACGGATGCTGGTGTAGAAATATAATTGGTAGTAGGACAAGCGACGAGAAGCTAGAGACCAATTATTATATGCTCGTGGTATTCTTCGTCTTTAACAGTTGACGTGACCTATTAATGGGAACTTCGTGAATGAAAATGATGAGTGTCCGTTTGTCAAATATCAAGCATATCCCAGAATCTGTAGTTGCATACGCCCATCTTTCAACACTGGAAGTGTATGTCCAACCAATGCCAGAAGTGTTTGCCAACACCTTTGCCCACATAGATGGCCATCAATGAATGTGAGTTTATCCTCATGTTGGTTATCATAGGACCAGAGTACAGGCACAGTTTCATTCACTGTGCACTCAGTAAGCACAGAACCTGTTTACAGCAAGACAGTCGCACAGTTTTGCCCAAACCTATGACAACACAAGCACACGCCAGAAGGAAATTCTCAACCTTCACCAACAAGAAACAGTTCCTCGGGAATACATCATTTGATCTTCATCTTTTAATCAAAGGTCGTCATGGTAACTGTGTTTACAATGACAACCACTTAAAAAGAATTATATTTTGCGAAAACAAAATGAAAATTGTTGGTCTGGTTCAGGATGGCCCAGCGGAACAGGCGTTAAATCGTGTCAGATTTTTTCTCATTGTATTAGCAATTTGTGATCAGGCGGCTCAAGTCCCAGATAGAAACACGTCCTGAAGATCAATACTGTAGGAAGGAACCTGGGGGAAGTCACCGGCATATTTCATCAGTTGAAGGTTGTGAAAGGCCCTACATCAGGCTGTAATGGCTCGCTTTTTGAAAAAGAGGTCTTGCATGTTTTGGAAGGACTGCAACAAGTGACCTCTGATGGATTTTAACACATCAGGTGAGCTAAGTGGTTTGATTGAGTGAATGTTGTTTTGAGCCCACTGTTGCAGCTGTATGAAGAAATGAAAGCTCATTTCAGTCATATTAGAGGTCGACAGTATGAATGTCAACAATTTCAAAACTGGTCTGTGAACGAGCAGATGTCATGAAAGACACTGGTAAAATGGCAAGAAACAGCTTCAGTCTTATCTACACAATGGCCAAAACATCCATAGATGGCCAACATTAGACTATTTGGTCATTTGTGACTGAAATGAAACATAAAACCAGACAAAACAGTGGTCGACAGCATGAATGTCAACACTTTCACGACCAGGGATCTGTAAAAGAGCTGACATGATGCAGACTGTGGGAAAGTCAGCGGCCAAAATGTCCTCCGATCAAGACATGGCTGAATCACTGCCAACAATGGCACTGCCATTTTTCACAGCTGTTGCTGAAATCCATGCTTGAAAGCAAAACCTTTTCATGAAAACATCTCGATGGTTGATGACACAAAACAGGTAATAACTTCCATTATGGTTTTCATCAAAGTGGGAAACAGCAGCAGATAGATCATCGCCATGACAACAAGATCAATGATTATACTATGAAATAGAATGTCACCAATTATGAAGAAACACAAAGATATTAAACATTAAACACAATGTGTAAAACTGGACGAAGAAATGTCTCCACAGAAAATAAGTACCTGTTCATTTGTCAAATTGCTGTATTTACAGTGGAGGTCGCGGTTCCTGGTCAGTGTGTTCTAACTGATCATTGTCTTATTTGAACAATTTCCTTGTAGGTAGCGGCAGTAACGTTGACAGATCCAACTCATTATATGCTTCTGCATAAATGTCAGAATGTGATATCCTTCATGTCCAACAATCATCAACGACAGAATTGTCAAAGACGACAATACGGCGCCGACCATAAGAGATGGCGCCAAATCCAAGACCAATGTGTCATCTATCAAATAACACAAGTATCAGTGCAGCTGAGACTGTACACTGATATTTCAAATCTGATATATACATTTGGAAATCAGATTAATGCAAATAAGCACTGATGTGTTTTCGGACAGGATCTCTGTGGTTCAAAGTAATTTTTATGTCACTTATCAATATTCCAGGCATACGCTGACACTTGAATAAAAAATAGGGAATTTTAGAACAAAGTGATGATTGATTCTTGCTACGCCAATCACAGGATTGTCTGAACCAGTTTGTTTGTTGCCTCGGTGGTATTCCAGGTATATGGTGGCAGTCTGTAAATATTCAAGTCTGGGCCAGACAATCCAGTGATTAACAGCAAGAGCATTGACCTACGCAATTGGGATATGATGACAAGTGTCAACCAAGTGGAGCCTGACTACCCGATCCCGTCAATTGCCTTTTACGACAAGCATGGTTTGCTGAACACCATTTCTAACCCGGATCTTCACGGGTCTGCGACATCTTCAAGACAGGACATAACACAGTGTTATCATCATCCATTGCTATAGTTACCTTATATGCCCTGAACAACAAGTACAGTTCTCTTGGTTTTGCATCCATGGGTAGTCCACTGACGAAGAGCGTCCGCACCTGCAGATATAGAAACAGTCTCTCTTAAAACATACGCTGTAGGAAACCTCACCTCATGTCATTGATAATGGAAACATAAGAACAAGTTTCATAGATACAAAATAGTTTACATGTGCCAAAGTTTATTGTAAGAGTTTAGTTTATTTCATATTCAGCTACAGTCATACGACTGAAAGGAACCACAAATTTCAGTTCAAAGTAACCACAGTTTGTTACATGTACAGGAAGTGTCTAGGTCTCCAAAACAGTTCATCACTTTAGTTGGTTCATTATATCCTTTAGTTACCTCTCATGACATACAAAACACATTCTGTCTGTGTCACCAGCTCTTATAACACACACACACCTGACATACTACCTCTCATGACATACAAAACACATTCTGTCTGCGTCACCAGCACTTATAACACACACGACACTGTGTACTACCTCTCATGACATACAAAACACATTCTGTCTGCGTCACCAGCTCTTATAACACACACAACACTCACATACTACCTCTCATGACATACAAAACACATTCTGTCTGCGTCACCAGCTCTTATAACACAAACGACACTGACGTACTACCTCTCATGACATACAAAACACATTCTGTCTGTGTCACCAGCTCTTATAACACACACGACACTGTCTGACATACTACCTCTCATGACATACAAAACACATTCTGTCTGTGTTACCAGCTCTTATAACACACACAACACTGATGTACTACCTCTCATGACATACAAAACACATTCTGTCTGCATCACCAGCTCTTATAACACACACGACACTGTCTGACATACTACCTCTCATGACATACAAAACACATTCTGTCTGTGTCACCAGCTCTTATAACACAACTTACCACACAAACACTTCTCTGACATACTACCTCTCATGACATACAAAACACATTCTGTCTGTGTCACCAGCTCTTATAACACACACAACACTGATGTACTACCTCTCATGACATACAAAACACATTCTGTCTGTGTCACCAGCTCTTATAACACACACGACACTGTCTGACATACTACCTCTCATGACATACAAAACACATTCTGTCTGCATCACCAGCCCTTATAACACACACGACACTGTCTGACATACTACCTCTCATGACATACAAAACACATTCTGTCTGAGTCACCAGCTCTTATAACACACACGACACTGACTGACGTACTACCTCTCATGACATACAAAACACATTCTGTCTGTGTCACCAGCTCTTATAACACACACGACACTGTCTGACATACTACCTCTCATGACATACAAAACACATTCTGTCTGTGTCACCAGCTCTTATAACACACACGACACTGTCTGACGTACTACCTCTCATGACATACAAAACACATTCTGTCTGTGTCACCAGCTCTTATAACACACACAACACTGACTGACGCATACCTCTCATGACATACAAAACACATTCTGTCTGCATCACCAGCTCTTATAACACACACGACACTGTCTGACATACTACCTCTCATGACATACAAAACACATTCTGTCTGTGTCACCAGCTCTTATAACACACACAACACTGACGTACTACCTCTCATGACATACAAAACACATTCTGTCTGTGTCACCAGCTCTTATAACACACACGACACTGTCTGACATACTACCTCTCATGACATACAAAACACATTCTGTCTGCATCACCAGCTCTTATAACACACACGACACTGACTGACGTACTACCTCTCATGACATACAAAACACATTCTGTCTGCATCACCAGCTCTTATAACACACACGACACTGACTGACGTACTACCTCTCATGACATACAAAACACATTCTGTCTGTATCACCAGCTCTTATAACACACACGACACTGACTGACGTACTACCTCTCATGACATACAAAACACATTCAGTGTCGCTGGCTATTACGACACTCACAACACTGTCTGTCTGACTACCTCTTTCGACATACAAAATACATTTTTTCTGTGTCATAAACACTGTCTACTGTCCCTATGGGCCTATGATGTCAGGCACAGTCAATCCGTCCCCTGTGACGCTTACAATTACACCAGAGACCAAAACCCTAGTTTTCATTTAAAAAGAAGATTACAATCCCCGAGAGTGGACATTGGCTAATGACTTATACATCCCCAAGCTGACTCTTATATCTCTCACTAACACAGCACAGATTGTTTCCGCAGGCTCCAAACAGCTCCATTCTGTGCAGGGAGTTTATACAGGAATAAACATCGAGCAGACCCCTTCAGATGAGCCTCCTGCCAAAACTCTACCAGACTTGGCAATAAACGGAAATTGTCTAAACAAAGTATCTTGACCAGATCAACTTAAAATAGAAACAATGGCTGCATGAGGTGGCTGGAAATTGCGATCACCAATAAAATCTCAATTTTACTCCTGGCGGGCAGCTGGTCTCAGTTCCAAGCAGCACGTGCGGCAGTACGGTCGAGTCATCAAAACATGGCCTCTCCAGTTAGACAGGACTTTCTGCAGTTATGGCTGCAATTTACTATAGAGAGCCTGGCGCAGTATCGACACAGGCAGGGACGTGGGGGCTGACAGAAAACACTGCCGATGTCAACCGCCAAAGTTACGATAATCAATTTACACCCTGCTGTGAAGGAATCGGAATATAGTTAGACACGGCAAGGTCTATCAGAACCTGGTAATGTTAATTATTTCCAAAGAACAATCCCACACCATCTAATTATCGCACTATACAGGAATTTTCAGAGTGGAAAAATCTGAGCGAAGGTTTAAAGAGATTTTTTCTAATCTAATTCAATGCTGCGTCGAATCTCCTGTCGGGTGAGCCACCATTTGCATTGTGGGAAAAAATTATCACAATCTTTAAAACCTACCGAGTGAGAGACAAATGTCTTTTGAAAATTAGTTCAATTGTTCTTAATTTCACTACAAAATTTGAAACTTGAAAAAACGTAAGTTTGAATGAGTGAAAATTCCTGACAAAAAATGCATTAACTGCACATTCTTCACACAAAGTGGTGAGGAAATTTGAAAGATATCTGGAGATGACACAGCTTTATATTGAGAAATGTGCTGCTACATAACATTCAATTCGACTTTGTTGAAAGCTAAGAAGAATACTTTCATTGTTAATTCCTCTGAACAATTAACAATTATGGCATACACTTTCAGCAAAAGTGCTCTTTGTCAAATTGCAATAGTCAGTTGGAACTGATCAGAGTTAAAAATACTTTCCATATCTTCAAACAAAAAAGTTCAAACCGTTAAGACGGAAAGATCTTTGAATTTTTTAATAGTATCAGCTGTGAGGGAGCACAGTTCAAAGTGATTACATTCATTCGGTGTGGCTTGAAGGCCAACACATATCCATCAAAATTTCATAATTTGACAACTAAATCGAAGGGGAATATTTTGTCGTCCCAAAAAGGACAATATGAGGAGCGAAGGATCATTTTGGACGGAAATGAGACATCGATGATCGTTATAACGACAAGATGAAGTGCTTGTGGTCTGCCAGTTACACACAGGTGGTAATAATTGGGGCTTGGTAAATTTACAAAGACCGATTATAAGGCACCAATGAATCAAAGACCCCAGGACCAGATGAAAGAATCTATGATTAAGCCAGTGTTTCAGCAGGAACACACCATCAGCGAACTAAAAAATACAAGAAATCTTTGAAAATGGACTCTACTCTGACAAGGAGGAGTTTTAATGGACAAAAAAGGTCCTTGTAATGTTCCTAATGATTGCATATTGCAAACTGTTTTTACTCCTCAATCCATGTGCTGTAGAGCCATGTTCTGCACAGGTCGACCTGACTGACCCGCCCTGCTGTTATACGCCTACATGCGTGAGTGAGTGCGTGAGTGAGATGCCGGCTTCATTTCTTGTACTATCAAGGAAACAACTTGGACAAAAGTAAAATATCTACACAGATTCTGGTGATGTTATGGTAAAATGTCGACACACAGATTTTTGGTGATGTTAAGGTAAAATATCTAGATACAGATTTCTGGTGATGTTAAGGTAAAATATCTACACAGATTTCTGGTGATGTTAAGGTAAAATATCCACACACAGATTTCTGGTGATGTTAAGGTAAAATATCCAAACATAGATTTCTGATGATGTTATGGTAAAATATCCACACACAGATTTCTGGTGATGTTAAGGTAAAATATCTACACACAGATTTCTGGTGATGTTAAGGTAAAATATCTACACACAGATTTCTGGTGATGTTAAGGTAAAATATCTAGATACATTTTTCTGATGATGTTAAGGTAAAATATCTAGATACAGATTTCTGATGATGTTATGGTAAAATATCTACACAGATTTCTGGTGATGTTAAGGTAAAATATCCACACACAGATTTCTGGTGATGTTAAGGTAAAATATCTAGATACAGTTTTCTGGTGATGTTAAGGTAAAATATCTACACACAGATTTCTGGTGATGTTAAGGTAAAATATCTACACACAGATTTCTCGTGATGTTCAGAACAACACATCTCGACATGAATTGAAACAAGACATCATTAGTTTTATATTTGCAGGCAATCAACTCAACAATCAACTCAAAGTTAACAGCTTTTACAACCATGTCCCAAAAAACCCAACTGTCATTCAATTCTACAGGTTTTAATGAGAAAAAGTCGTCAATTTTATTCAAATTGTCGTTCGCAAGTGACGAGAACAGGACAAAGGCATAATGGGTGTCGCGAATCCAAAACCAAATTGATTTCAGCTCATCCTTTTCTTAACCCTTTAAGATGTAAACAGCAAAGACATTCTCAGCATGGTGACAAGTCTTTATCTTCATTGCCTTAAGAACTTTTTGGCAAATGTCACCCATAATTCTGATGCAGAGTCCCCCTAGTGTATGGAAAGCTCAGATTACTTGAATGTTCTCCCCAATGGGTTGCTGGTAGAGGGTTAATGTATGTAGCACGTCTATGTACTGAGACATTTTCAAAAGAAGGAAGCGTTGACGACGGTTGAATCAATTTC